GGGCTGCTCCTGTTCTCGACCTCTGTTTGGTCAAGAGCTGCCCACTGGTGTTCCAAAACACAGCTCTGGGTTTTGGATGCTTTGCCAGGCCTGGTCCCTGTCTCCTGCCCTGCTTCAGCCTCGAGGTTTAGGTCTGGATGTTCCAGGTCTCTCTCGGTGGGTGCCCGAAGCCCCTCGGCCTCACTGATCTTGGGAGGGACCTTAAACTCACCCAGTGCCACCCCTGCCATGGGCAGAGCCACCTTCCTCTGTCCCAGGCTGCTCCCAGCCCCATCCAACCCGACCTTGGACACTTCCAGGAGGGGGCAGCTGTAGTTTTTTAATGTCCAGGAGATTTTGGGGTGAATTAGCCCCATGTTGGGTTCTTCCCATCCTGGAGCAGCCACTCCAGCGCATTTCTGTCCCCCCCAGGCCAGCGGGATTTAATCACTTGATGCATTTTTGTTTGTGTAATTCCACGGAGAGTGGCTCTTCCTCCCATCTGCCCCTGCCATCTGCTCCCCACGGCCATCCCGGGCTCTGCAAACTGGGAGCTGCTGCAGGGACCCTGGAAAAACCTTCTGGCAATGGCAGCTCCTCATGGAGAGCATCCGGCTCCGCTGGAGTCTTTTCCCAGTGCTCTGAAAGCCACTTTGCTCCTTGCTGGAGTGACTGGGAATGCTTTGCCACCCTTATCGGGGTCCTGGGGACTCCCAACCCAAAATGTCCCTTTCTAGCCCCAAAAAGCCTGGCTTGGCACCTTCTTGGGCCAGGAGACAGCGTGTCCCAGTGCTCCCAGTGCTCCCAGTGCTCCCAGTGCTCCCAGAGCTCCCAGAGCTCCCAGTGTTCCCACTGCTCCCAGAGCTCCCAGTGCTCCCAGAGCTCCCCAAACTCCCCCAGAGCTCCCAGTGCTCCCAGTGCTCCCAGTGTTCCCATTGCTCCCAGTGCTCCCCAAACTCCCCCAGTGCTCCCAGTGCTCCCAGAGCCCCCAGTGCTCCCCAAACTCCCCCAGTGCTCCCAGTGCTCCATGAGCTCCCAGAGCTCCCAGACTTCTCAGTGCCCCCAGTGCTCCCAATGTTCCCAGTGCTCCCAGTGTTCCCAGTGCTCCCAGTCCTCCAAGACTTCTCAGTGCTCCCAGTGTTCCCAGTGGCCAAAGACCTTCCAGTCGACCCAGTGCTCCCAGTGCTCCCATTCCCCAAGACGTTCCAGTTCTCACAGTGTTCCCAGTGCCTGAAAACCTCCCAGTGTTCCCAGTGTTCCCAGTGTTCCCAGTGTTCCCCAAGACCTCCCAGCGCCCCCAGAGCCTCCCCAGCCCTCTCTGTCCCCAGCCCCCTCTCCGGGGGTACCAAGGGCTGCTCCCCGAGCTCTCCTCCGTGGGGCGGTGTCCCGGGGGGTGTCCCGGGGCGGGTGGGGTGTCCCGGGGGGCGCTGCCGGTGCCGGTGCCCCCGGTGCCCCCGGTGCCCCCCCGCCGCCCGGCGCTGCGGCGGTCGCTCCCGGCGGGCGCTCCCGGTCTGCGGTGGCGGTGGCGGAGGCGACAGCGGCCGTCTCCGGGCAGGTAGGAGGTGGCGGGGACAAGGGACCCGGGGGGGACACGCACGGACACGAGCGGGGGGCACTGAGGAACCGGAGAGCCCGCGGCACCGGCGCGGACCCAGCCCCGGGCACGTCCGTCCCCTGCAGAGCCACCCCCGCCCCACCGCGTCTTTCGGGGGTGCTCGGAGTCCCTCTCGGTCCCCAGCGCTTCTTTCGGGGGCTCCCGGTAGTGCCTCTCCACGGGAGAGACCTTCCCTTGGCGTGTCCCCGACAATCCCAGGGTGTCCGGTTCGGGGGGAGCCCCCTGCAGCCCCCCCACCCCGGAGAGGACTCCCTGGGGGTGCCCACCCGCCCTTCTGGAGGTGTCCGCTTTGGGGGGGTCCTTGCGGAGCCCTCTCGGTGTGCTGAGCCCCCACGGGTTCCCTTCTCGGGGCGGGAGCTGCCCCGGGCAGTGGGGAGGGGTCACAGACCCCAGGCTTTGGGGGTGGGGGTCGTGCCAGCCCCGGAGGGACCAAACTGGGGACCCCTGAGTGGGGCGGGGACACGCAGATCCTTCCTCGGGCTGCTGGAGCGGGGCTGGAGCCGTGGGGGGGAGATGGAGAGACTTTGTGGGGTCCCATCCCCCTGAGTGTCCTCTGTGGACTCCCCTGGGTGTCCAGCCCTACCTGGCTGCTCCTCTTGGGCACTCCTGTCTGCCCTGAGATCCAAAGGAATCTTTGGGGAGTTTGGGGGTGCTGCGGCCTCTCCCTACTCTGGATAAGGCAGCTCCAGGCACTGAAAGCCCCCAGTGCACCCCTGAATCCCCCCGAGCCCATCTCTCCCACGGAGGGGTCACGACACAGCCTGGGGGACGCCCCAGGACAGTGGCAGCGGGTCGAGGTCACCACGGAGCCCCCAGGAGGGTCGTGCCCGGTGCAGGACACCCTCCCTCCCCTGGGAGCTCCTCGGGGCTGGTCCTGCCGGGCTGGGCTGGGCCGGGGGCACCCTGGGGCAGGGACAGAGCCCCGAGCAGGGACCTGCCACCCCCAGCCCTTCCTGGGGCTCCAGGGCCCGCCGGAGGCATCAAATATTAACGGAGACAGCGGAGGAGCTGAAAATAACCCTCCTCCGAGGGATCTGACCCAGATCCGGCCAGCCCCAAAGCTGGGCTGGACCCAGAACCGCAGGCACCGCTCTGCCGGGGCCGAATCCAGCCCCCTCCCCTCCTCCGGGCCACTCTGCCCTGCTGATCCCACCTATATAGCACCTATATATTATGCAAATGAGCTATAAGGGCTTATTACGCAAACGGGAGGGGGCTGGCGCTGCCTGGCTCTGGGTGGTCCCCGGGGCTGGCCCCAACGGCTCAGAGCGGCCAGCGGGGATGGAGGGAGCAGCATCCCCGTCCGGCCGGGTGTCCGGGGGCTGCCAGGGAGCTCTGCCCCGTCCCTCTCCCCTCCTGTAGCGCAGAGGGACCCCCGAGACCCCCCAGACCCCTGCAGCGTTCATCCCGGCGGAATGGGGAAGCAGAACAGCAAACTCCGCCCGGAGATGCTCCAGGACCTGCGGGAAAACACGGAGTTCTCCGACCTGGAGCTGCAGGGCTGGTACAAGGGTTTCCTGAAGGACTGTCCCTCGGGCATGCTCGACGTGGAGGAGTTCAAGAAGATCTACGCCAACTTCTTCCCCTACGGAGACGCCTCCAAGTTCGCCGAGCACGTTTTCCGCACCTTTGACACCAACGGCGACGGCACCATCGACTTCAGGGAGTTCATCATCGCCCTGAGCGTCACCTCCCGCGGGAAGCTGGAGCAGAAGCTCATGTGGGCCTTCAGCATGTACGACCTGGATGGAAACGGCTACATCAGCCGGGAGGAGATGCTGGAGATCGTGCAGGTACCGGGCTGCCCCGCCCCGCAGCCTCCCGGTGTGGCTGTCGCCTCCCGGGGCGAGGGTGGCTCAGGGATTTCACCCTGTGGGACCCTCGGGACAGAGTTTTGCTGTACCAGGGATGGATGAAGCCGTTGGTGTCTGCAGCTCAGGGATCATTTTATCCTGGAACATCCCGAGTTCTTCCTTGCCTGGGGATGTCCCTTTGTGAGCCCATGCCGGGACTCTTCCCGTGCTTCCAGGGCTGGCAGGTGTCTCCCAGCACACCTGGTGGTGCTGGCAAATGTGCAGGAGATGCTCTCCCTGCCCAAATCCCAACCTGGAGATTCTCACTGCTGTGGAATCCCAGTGGCCAAATTCTCCCTGCAGGAGCAGCTCCAGCCCCGGCAGTGCTGGGAGCCCCCCACAGCCTGATCCCATGGAAACACCAACCCCATTCCCAGGAAAGCAAAGCCCAAAGATCTGTCCCTGTCCCAGGTGGGCAATGCCAGGAGCCACCCTCACCCCCTCTCCTTCTCCCAGGCCATCTACAAAATGGTCTCGTCCGTGATGAACATGCCTGAAGATGAATCCACCCCGGAGAAAAGGACGGACAAAATCTTCCGACAGATGGATACTAATAACGACGGTAAATGAGAGGAGCTGGAGGGGATTAGGGAAAGGTCTCATGGCTAAATCCGGGGGTCTTAGAAGGAGCCGCACGCACGCTGATTAAATGGCTCATGTGTGCTGCTGTGGCCCCGCTGGCCAGAGGGGCTCAGGGTGCTGGGCACCCCAGGGTGCTCCTCCCGGCTGGGCGGGGGTGTCCATGGGCTGCTCTGGGTGGTCTCTGGTCCTGGGAGGAGGCTGAGCCGTGTCCCCTTCCCCGCAGGGAAGCTCTCGCTGGAGGAGTTCATCCGAGGGGCCAAGAGCGACCCGTCCATCGTGCGCCTGCTGCAGTGTGACCCCAGCGGGGCCATGCAGTTCTGAGCCCCCCAGGACCCCCCCAGCCCCCCCTCCCGCCACCCCCGACCCTGCAGATGGTCACTGTCCCTTACCCGGCCCCTGCGGTCCCTGCTGTGCCCCCACAGCGCCTCGTGGGATGAGAGCTGGACCCAGCTGAAATTGGGGTGAGGGGAACCCAGGGGGGAGTCCCCATCCCTGGGGGGCTCCTGCACTGGTGGGAGGATGGGTGCCCTGAGGCTCCCCCAGCAGCAGGGCTCAGGGCAGGGGGACAGCCCAGCCCCGCGGGACAGGATGGTGGCCACTGCTGCATCTCTGGCAGGCGTGGGGACACGGCCCAGGGGACAAAGCCCCGGTGGCTGCGGGGTCCCACGGCTGGGTCAGCCCCTTCCCCATAGCCAGTGCAGGGGGTGGGGCCGGGGGGCCCGTGCTTCTGGTCTTTAACACCTGCAGAATAAAGTTTGTGTCAGTGCAGTCCGTGCTGGGAAAGGGGACACGGGAGCCCTGGGGAAGGTTCCTCCCTGCTGGGTCTGGATCCAGCCCAGTTTCATCCCTCGCTGCAGCCCCAGGCAACCCAAGGCCGTGGGATGGGCTCGTGTTCCAGGGGATGTGTCCACACATCCTGGGAGGCAGCAGAGTCCTGTCGTGGGGCTGGAATGGGGCAGGAATGGCCAGGACACATCCACAGGGTCATTTATCCCTCAGGCCCCGCTCAGAGCCGGGCAATTTCCACACTGTCCAGTCTCAGCAGGCCCAGGCACTGCCCGGGGCCAGGGCTCTCCGCAGGGGCTGCCTGCAAAGAGACCTGGAAGCCAGAGAGGATGGTGAGAATGGGACCAGAGGGGTGGAAGCCTTGGATCCACAAGTCACCCCTGAGCCCAGACAGGTCTGTCCCAGCCCTGCAGGGGAGGGGCTGGAGCTGAGCCCAGGAACCAGAAATCACCTTCATCCGGAGCGTCCCGCGGCAGCAGCGGCCGAGGCGGAGGAGCTCCAGGGTGAGCAGGAGGCAGCGGATGCTGAAGAAGATCTCCATGGCCTCCAGCAGGAGGGAGATGGCCCAGAGGGACAGCGTGGAGCTCTGGGAGACAGCGGGAGCATCAGCTCCCTGCTCACCCTCCCCATCCCCAGCACATCCCCAGCCCACGAGGGACTCACGTAGACACGGGTGGGATCGAAGGGGCACTCATGGGAGACCGGGGCGAGGGCGATGCTGCCGATGGAGCAGGGGGCCAGCAACACCCGGCCCTGGTTGTCCAGGGTCAGCCCGATGGCCACGAGCAGCCCCAGCAGGCAGCACAGGCAGCACAGGCTGCTGCAGGCGCTCAGGGCCAGCAGCGCCCATTTCTGCGGGAGGGAGAGAAGAGGCAGCTCGGGGATGTTCCCTCCCCAGGGCGGACCCCAGAGAGGGGCTGTGGGGACTGTTCAGACTTCCTGGGAGGGCCCCTGGGTGCTGGGAGAGGGGCTGGGGATGCTTACGAGGGCAGCAGAGCCGAGGTAACGGGCCAGCAGCAGGGCAGAGACTCCACAGGAGATGGTCTGCGAGGAAGCACAGGGGGTCAGCGAGGAGCAGCTGCCCCAGGGCCAGCGGTGTCCTTTCCCTGCTGGCACTGTCCCTGGAAGCTCATCCGGGGGGCAACGCTTCACCTCCAACAGCCTCACCCAGTAAGGAGCCCCTGAGTGTTGAATTCCCTGGGTTTGTGCTAGAAAGGCTTGTTTGGAGTGGGGGAGACAGAGCAGTGTCTGTGCTGCATCCCATCTCCTTCCCACCCTGCATCCCTCCCTCACCCCAGCCCCTCCCCACGTCCCCCCGTGTCCCAGGGGTACCAGCAGCGCAGTGACCGCAGAGGCGCTGTTGGTGACACCGTAGTGCAGGGAGGTGACATCGCGGGCCGTGACCACGAAGCGCAGGACGGTGCCGTGGACGAGGGCCCCGGTGATGAAGCTGAGGTGGCCGATGATGAGGAGGATGAGCCCTGTTTTCATCAGCACCGTTCGGTGGCTGCTGGGATCGAGGTGGCCTGAGAGGAGGGGAGAGGAGGGTGTGGGGTGGCCAGCACCGAGCTGTCCCCACCTGGCACAGGAATGGGGCACTTGGGGACAGCCCCAGGGGATGAGGCAGGAGGTGATGTGGAAGGCACCGCTAGCCCAGGTATGCAAACCACTGGTCCAGCCAGCTCTCCTGAGACTGGAGCAAAGGTGTGGGGCCAGTGGCCATGGGGACAGAGTCCCTGTGGGGCTGGGAAGGGCTGGGGCTCCTCGGACTGACAGGGAAGCTCTGGGAGAGCAGAGCTGTCCCCCAGATGGCAGCTCCAGGGCTGGGTTCTGGTGACTGTGGGGCTGTTCCCCCTTTGGGCCCACCCTCACACACCCATCACCACCCAGTGACCCCATCCGAGCCCCTCAGCTCCTCTCCCTCCCTCCCTGCCTCAGTTTCCCCTGCAGGAGGGCAGAGATGGAGCCCTCTTGATGTGATCCCCACACCAGAGCCGGACTCACCCACTTGGCACATCTTCACCGGGCCAGGCTCAGGCCATCAGAGCCCCTCGATGCCCCAGGGCCTGCCCTGCCCTCAGCCCCGGGCAGTCGGATCCATCGGGGTCTGGGACGGGGCAGGACCGGGACACCCGGAGCCACCCGGAGCCACCCGCCTGCTGCTCCGATTCCTGTCAGACCAGCTCCCCGGGACAAAGGGATAACTCCACCTTCTCCTCCGTGTCCCACCCCTGCCCTCCCCTTGCTGCCAAGCCAGCAGCCGTGCTGTGACATGCCGTGCCGTGGCAATTCACCACTCCATGCCCAGCCACCATTCCACACTTCCTCACCCCCCTTCCCCACCCACCCCCACCTCCCCAGCACGCCCCAAAACCTCAGCAGCAGGCTGGGATCCATCCAGGGGGGTCCCAGGGCAGCTCCTGGGGCTGGGACACTGCCCAGCACTGCCAGGGACAGGGCAAAGCAGAGGGCTCAGGGCGGGTGGTGACTTGGCCCAGTGGTGACTCAGAGGAGCTGGTTTGGTGGCCATCACCCTCAGGAAGCTTCCAGGGAAATTCCAGACACTGGGATGGGGACAGGGGCTTGAAGGGGTGGCTTTGGGAGAAGCCCCCAGCTCAGCTCACACCGAGGGGCTGGGGGATCCAGCGGGGACAAGCCTGGTTCCTGGGACTGCTCTGGGGAAAGGTCCCCAGTGTCCCACCCGAGCCACTGCTCTCAGCATCCTCAGCTCCCACACACCCTCAAGTGCTGGAAATTTGCCTTTTTTTCCACACTGTTCCCCTCCTTTTACCTGTACCCAGCCCTGCTGCACAGGGAGATGGAGAAGAGAGACCTCTCTTCTTCCCAAGCCTTTGGGAACAGCATTCACATGGGCAAAGGCAGCTGGAAGATTTCCCTGCAGCTTCGGAAAGGAGGAGCTGGATTCAGGTCGAATGACAACCAGAGTCTTTATTCCAAGAGTCCCTTAGGATGGTTGCAGACATACAGACACACGTACATATTTACACTCTTACACACCTCAGAGTCTGAACCAATAAATTAAAACAAAAAGAGGGCAAAGGGGGGGATTTTTTTTTTCCCTTTCTTTTTTTTTTTCCTTTGTTTTTTTTTTTTCTGTCACGTAACAAACAGCAACTCCCCGAGGTGAGGCTGGGGGAGCCAGCTGGAGGATGGCAAACAGAAGCCAACAGGGACACAAGCTTGGCCCAGAAGCTGCAGCGCCAGGGAGCGCGCTCAGGTCACACCCTGGCTTCGATGCACTCCAGCTGGACCATCTCATCCAGCCGGCAGCCCTCGGCTTGGGCACAGTGGCTCAGGTGGGCACTTGGGCTCTGGGCACCTCTTGCTCTGGGGGTCTGTGGGCAGCCTGCTGCAGTCTGACAGTGGGGGGACTCGCACTCGTCCGAGGTAATGTCCGGCACGTCGTCCGACTGGCTGTCCGAGCTCTCCAGGTCGCTGCGGATGCTCTCGGGCTGGGCCAGGGTGATGTCCCACGTCTGGCTGGCAATGCAGTCCTTTTGCTCACAGCTTTGGTGTTTGCACGTCTGCTCCTGCTTGCCGTCCTCCTCCTCCTCTTCCTCTTCCTCCTCCTCTTCCTCGTTCTCTGCCATTTGGGTGTGGACGTGCAGGGAGTCCTCTGTGCTGCTGCCACTGGTCAGCTGGTAGTGACTGGGTTTGGCTTCAATGTCCACCTGGATCTCCATGTTATTGCACTCCCTGCAGGAACAACCACCCTCACGTTACTGGGAGCAGTTACTGGGTTCAACTGGGCTGTACTGGGAGGAGCACACCTCCCAAACACGAGCACGATGCTGCTCATCACCCCACGCCTCGCTGCTCTCCTTGAATCCTCCTAAGAGAGCCAAGATCACCCCCAGGCTGAGCCAGGGGCTGAGCTGGGAGAGCTCCAGAGTCCCTCAAATGGCCAGAAGAGCCCCTGAGGGCTGTAGATCCCTTCCCCAGCCTCCACACCACACAGATCTCCTCCCCAGCTAGGAGAAGGATGGATCCCTGGAGCAAACACAGCCATCCCACCCACAGCAGCGCTCACAGAGCGTGCATTTTTCCAGGACACTCTCCACCAACGCTCTTCTCAGCATTCCACATCCTCCCACCTGTCCTGAGGGTTGTAGGAGCTGATGATGGAACCAGCCATGGCTCGGGTGCTGGCGTTGTCGCTGATGGCCCCCAAACTGACCGAGTCTTTGGGGAAAATCTCCTTCTGGACATCTGCCTGGACCTCCAGCCTGCAAGAAAGAAGAGGATTCCTCAGAAATGCTTTAGATGCACCCAAGGAGCACCAAGCTGTCCCTGCTCCTCACAGGAAATCAAGAATCGCTGTGAGCTGGCATAGCTCAGAGTGACAGGAGTTTAACCCCAGTGGTTGCTCTCATTGAGTCTCATTTTTGGCTCCATTTAGGTAAATCCATTCTGTTTTCCATGACGAAGGTGAAGCCGTGTTTACATCCATGACTCACACGATTCCTGCGAAGAGCTGATTTCCATGGATCTCGCACAGAGCTGTGATTACATCCTGGCTGCCACATCAACACGTGGCTCTAATTACCCAGCAAACTGACTCACAGGCAAGTTGGGAGGAAAACTGTGGTGTAACCTCCTGACTTGGAGAGCTGTGACCCTGCTTGCAGAACAGAAAGCATCAAAGCCTCCAGGCTGGGATAACAGGGCTGGAATAGCTTTAAGCAGGCCAGGCAGGAGCTCTGTGCTGTTCCCAATTCAGCTGAAGCATCAGCTCTGTGGTCTCAAGGAGCTCAGTAGGGATCTGTCCTCCTTGCAAGAACTAGACTGGCACTGACTCCAGAAAGAGAATCATGGAATGGTTTGGGTTGGAAAGGACCTTAAAGATCACCCAGCTCCAACCCCCTGCCACGAGCAGGGACACCTTCCCCTAGACCAGGCTGCTCAGAGCCCCATCCAACCTGGTTCTGGAACATCTCCGAGGATGGGGACCCCACAACCTCTCTGGGCAATCTGTGCCAGTGTCTCCCCACCCTGGGTGGCTCTGAGCTCCAGATCATCCTGGGTGATCTCCTAGACCTGCTTATTCTACAACAGACCAAGGCAAAAAAATACCACGACACAACCCCTGGATCAAAACAGCTTCACTCACGCTCCTGGAAAGTTCCTTAAAATAAAGCCACTCAAACCCACACGAGAGGCCTTGGGAACCTCTCTGCTTTTCCCACAGTCCAGTTACCTGCTGTACTTCCCCTTGCTCCCTGAGAGGACCCCCCCGCTCAGGGTGCCCCCGGACAGGGCAGCGAAGCTGGCGGTCTCGCTGTAGTTGCCCTGGATGACACTGAGCCCGTCCGTGGGGCTGCCACTGGTGCTCAGCACGCTGGTCAGCCCCTCAATGCTGCTCTCTCCAATGCTGGGGTTCTTCAGGGCTCTCCAGGCATCGGCCACTGCGAGGAAGGAGAGCACAGGGGTTGGAGCACTTGGCTGCGATGTCTCAGATTTGGGAAACATCAGGACCATTTCAAACCATTTCATTACAAGAGGCAACAACGAAAGCATTTTGCTTCAACCCCTTCCCATCACCAGTTATTACCTGTGATAGGTCCATCATCTTCATCAAACTCGATTTTCACTCCCTTTCCGTTGGCTGTGCTGACCCCACAGCCACCACCCCGGCACAGCGAGATGGGCACCACCCCATAGACGTAGGCCAGCATGATGGGGACCCCAATTCCTGGAGAGGAGGATGAGCTGGGTTAGGAGGTGCTTAAAGATGTGTTGGGCAGACAGAAAAGATTTTTTAGGGACTCTTTCAGTAATGTTTTTGTTGTTTTTAAAGGTCCCACAGTTCACAGTTTTGCAGACAGTGGAGGAGCCCTTTGTTCAGAGTGAGGGAACCCCAAGAGCACTGAAGCCCCAAGACATCAGCCACCAAACCATGGCAGGAGACAGCTGCAGTGTGACAAGGGACTCCAGGATGGGTTGTGGCCATCTGCACCAAGTGGTGCTCCAGAGAAACCCTGTGCTGGCTCTGGAGCAGCTCGAGCCCATCAGGATGTGAGACAGAGCGTTGAGCCCAAACCCACACACAGCTGCACTCTGCAAATTGCCCTTTGGCCACCCCCATGGCACAGGGCTGGGCTACCCACTGGTCTCAGTGGCTACTGGGCCAGCAGAGGGGATAGGGCTGAGCCCACTTACCAACACTGACAGCAGCAATGACTGGGGAGGCAATGACAGACAAGGTGACCCCACCAGTAATGGCCAAGTTCCTCTTGTGCTTGGAGGTTTTCTTCCCCTCGTATCTGCTGTGAATCTGATGGAAGAAGAAGCACCAGGTGAGAACAGAAGACATCTAGAGGACGTTAAGAAGTGATTTTACAGCCTTGCCAGACGTGTGAACCCTTGAAGAACCTTATTTTGAGCACAGATCTCCTCACAGAGCAGACCTAGCAGGAGGGTCTGTGTTGAAGGAGAAGAAGCAACCACAAGTACGGGGCTGATGGGCTCAGAAGGGACCCCCAGGGTGCTCATGGGTCGAGGCAGAGGCACAAGAGAAATGCAAAATGCATTTGGGAGGACTCGAGCCCCTTCAGGCTACCAGGGCTATCAGCCACCACCTTCCCCCTGCCCACACAAAGCCCAGGAGATAAGAGAAGCTATAGAAGAGAAAACTGAATTTGGGTTCTGTGACAAGATCCACCCTTCCTATCAGCTCTAAATTTCTGGTCAGCACAGGGAACACCCCAAAGCCTTCTGCCCCCCACACTCACCTTCCTCCCGACGTACACAGGGATGCCAATGACCATGGCAGGAATGGCAATGCCAGCGATGAGGGAAATGCCCACCGGGGCTCCGATCAACGTGCCCAGCTGCCAGAGAATCTTCTTTTTACGACTCCATGGCTTTTTGCCCCAGAATGTACAGCCAGAGGGGCTTCATGGAAGGGAAAAAAATTACATTAGCACTCCAGCAGTTCCTAAAAGCTCCTGAGAACCCCAAGTTCAACTTGCACATGAATAAAACCCAAAGCTAAGG